ATGGACTTCTAGCTACAAAGTTTTTATAGGGCTACATGTCCTGGAATCAAGTTGAAAATTAACAGGAAGGGACGAGGAAGCCATGAGATTGTGATCTCAGCCAGCCAAGGTTAGGGGGAACAAAAACAAAAAGTTTTAGGCCTCATGTTCTGTAGATAGAAGCCATTTGTTCCCAGCCCTCGTAGGCTGAGCCCTATTGGCCTGGCGGAACTATACAGCTCCCTTGCTCTACCAGAGCTTCTTTGGGCAAGCCTGACAGGAGCCAAGAGCTGTAAGTACTCCACATAGACAAACACTCAGCACAGTTACCGCCGAAGTCCCCTGCTCAAATGGAGAGAGCACAGCGACGTACCACTAGCCCCTTCTCTCAGTTGGATGGAAGGGATTCTATACTCCTCCTCAGAACTGTCCTGGTTTAACTGAAGTTGTTGGAAGTCCTCTCACCAAGCATAAGAGGAGACAGAACATGACTGCCTAATTTAAAGAGAGATTATGGAGACATTCGGGTGTGTGGTCACCATGAAGCGGTCACATTTGGATAGGCTCTTTTGTCATTAAGAGCCATCTACACTCAAGAGTTAGGTTGATGTAGCTACATAGGTCGGCATGGTCACACCCTGACCAAACTCTAAAGTGTAGATGCAGCGAGGTCATTGAAGAATGCTTTCATTGATGTAGCTACTATTGCTTGAGGTGGTGGTGTTCCTACAGGAATGGGAAGGCCCATCTACACTACAGGATTATGCCAGCATAGCTATAGTCTCTGTATAAGGTACGTCTTTGCTACAATCACATACAGTTCAAGCCCCTGCAGTGTAATAGTACAGGCTCTTCCGGGACTACACCCCAGAAGCATCCAAAGTTTGCAAAAAAACATACACATCACATCCTTCAGTCTAACCAAGAGAGGAAACCAAGAACAGAAACTGTGGAAGGTTAGTTTTTTTCCCCTCCCAGAATGTTACTGCCCTGATAAGGTCACTGACAAATCACAAGGGCTTGCTGGGATGCACCCTGCATTTCCCAGCACAGAAAGGTGGCAGCATCTCTATTATGTCACATGGTGGTGGGCACTTCCAATCTCTGGAGACTCCTTAGCTGGTGAACAGGGCAGTTTTAACACTGTCCAGGATCCCCTCCCCCCAGTGAACCCATCCTGAGAGAGTCATACTGTTGAGGAAATATAGATACTAGATGTTCATTAAACAGGAGAATGAGATAAAGCTAATGAGGAAAGGTTTAAGGGTACAAGAATGAATGTGGAGCATCTTGGGAGGTCTCTGATTAGTGACAAAACTGTTCAGTTTCATTATCTAGCTTGGATATTTTTGGGATACAAGAACTCCCAGGCTGGATATGATTTACATGCACATCTGCTCCAGTGTAATTAAAGAAGGGGAAGCAATCTAGTCAGTTACACCATTAAAAAGAGAAACCCAGACACGTTGGAGGTCATGGATAAGCCAACCTTAGGGAGGCAAGCTGAGAGGACCTCTTAGTCTCCTGCAAGGCAGAGCCAGAGCCCTGAGTCATATTGCTATACATAAGAAGTGACAAGGAGGCAACACATTCAAGCAGGCTTTTGTAGAAGGGGAAGTGAGTGGTTGCTGTGGCTGAAGTTACTCATAAGAGGCCCCACCGGATGATCAAGGAGGGGGAGTGACTGGCAGTAGAGGGAGAAGACTTCTTTCAGAGCTAGCCTACTAGGAAGATGCCAAGATATCCACTGGCTGCAAAATTAAAAAAAGCAAAAGCTATTTTAGGTCTCATCTGGAGTATCATTGACAGTTGGATTTAAAATTTGAAGATACACCTCTTTGGAGGCATGATGGGGGGAAAAAAATGCCGCATTTGAGACAAATTGCTGACTTGGACATATCCAACAAAGCTAGAGTTCAGAATAAGCCTGATGAAGTTAAGATGAAAGCAGAACCTATTTTAATGAGTTGAGATGGAGTAAGGAGACATGCAGGTTATGTATCTACTGCTTTTCCATTTGGAGCATCAAAACACGTAACTAGCTAGCAACAGAAGGAAAACCACAACTGCTATTGCTAAAGCAGCATGTCTCTGGCGACCAAGAATAAGGCTCTTAAAATGAGCGTTGACAAGTTGAACAGGAAAATTACATAGTGGGGCTGGAAGCCCAGAGTCATCTAGTCATCTTTTATTCTGTTTTTTTTTTTGGGGGGGGGGGGGGGGGAGTAGAAGAGGGGTGTTTTTCAAAACAGGTAATACATACAGAAAGAATGTGATTTGTCAGTAGGTGTTTGTGAAATAGAAGCCTAGTGCAGTTTACCCTCACACCCCAGCACCACTTTCACACTTGGGAATTGTTTGTGAGCTAAAGGATGCGGTTCTCATACACCAGGCCAGCTGGGAGCCACAGTGACTGGAGATATAGAAGCACTGAGGAAAAAAATGCCACCTCTCTGCACAGTCCTAAAGGCCGTGATTATTCAATCTTCTCCAAGAACATTGCACAAGAAAGCCAATGGGTAACTAGCCTAATGTTCTGCTTTAAAAGAGGTACTTACCACCAGCTTGTAGTACACCATGATTCAAATATCTGACTTACATCTACAGTTCCAAAGACGTTATTAGGTGGACAGGGTTTTCCATATCACCCATTCGCAGATCATTATCAAGAACTGAAGGACAGTGTTAGCTAGTTTGTTTAAGTGTCACCATTTAGCAAGTTGCAATTCTATACCAACGGCCTTGTCAATGCAAGAGCTGCACCCACTTTCCCCCAATTCCATTTAGGAACAGCTTTTACATTGGAGTGGCCCCCTTGTGGTTGCACCTCTTGTTTCAGTTTAAGAGTGCCCTGTATCCATTTAGCTGGTTCATCAGGAGTCATCATAAGCTAAATCAAGGCAGTTCCTTACTGATTAGTTAACAATCTAGGACAATCTTAGAGCCAAAGTAAGAAGTGTAAACACGGGGGGTTGCTCCAGTCTAACCTTGCCAGTTTCATCTGTAGAGCTCAGTTCTTCTGGCAGGCAGGCGAACAAATGGTTTAGACGTTGCAGGCACTCTCTACCCCTGCCTTCTCAGAAACTCCATGGGCCCAGTTGTCCACCACCTTGCACCAAGTGTAGTTGCTTACACGTGTGCAAGTAAAGGCTGCCATTCTGACCCACAAGGATTTTACAAAAACAAGGAGTCCGGTGGCACCTTAAAGACTAGCAGATTTATTTGGGCATAAGCTTTCGTGGGTAAAAACCCCCACTTCTTCAGATGCATGGAATGAAAATTACAGATGCAGGCATTATATACGGACAGGATTTTACACCACTGCAGTGGTTTTCAACCTGTGGTCCATGGACCAATGGGGATCTGCAGACTAGGCCTAAAATTTCCAAAGGGATCCACACCACCACTTGAATTTTTTTAAAATGGGTCCACAAATGAAAAAAGGTTGAAAACCACGGCTCTAGTGTTTGTGACCCTAGAGGCTAGTTGAGGCTCCAGCCCCCCAACCAAGTATGCTTGTCTTTGCTAAAAATTATCCTAGATTCCCCCTCACCAATTCAAATTCCATAGCTTTTGACATTTAGATTAATATTTATTTTTTCCTGCCTAGTTATAGCATCAAGACAAACACCCCTCCTCAAACCCATCCCCCCCAGTCAGTTCTCCTTGCAAAACAAGAAGTTTTGTCTTTCCCTTTACCTCACCTATTTAAATTTAGTTTGCAATTTCAGAAAGAGAGTTAGCTCATTACTTAAGGATCTTTTTAAGCTTTGAAGAAAGTCCGATGCACATAAACATACTGCAGCATTTAAGTAATTTACAAGTGTAACAAAATCCAGGCACATTGTTACCAATACGAGCCCAATTATCCCCTCTTCCCTTTGCCTTTTGGGGGCATACTGTATTGAATACCTATTGATAGGTAAATCGGAATTTGGCAGAGAAGACAGCAGTCAAACAACAAATGTTACATAATGACTTGTGTTTATAGCTTTGACAGTTTTTAAAAATCGACAGCTTCACCAGTGTTCAGGTGATGGTGTTGGGGGGGAAGAAATGGGAAGAAATGTAGAAGAAACTGTGCTGCTCATCTTGTGTGTTATCATGTGAATGCCAATGTCCTAGGGAAAATGAAATCATAATTCCCCTGTGACTGAAGGATTTCAGTGTGTTGGAGATTCCTTTGTGAGGCTGTTAAACAGCTGAGAGCTGCAGAGGGAAGGCAAAAGTCTTGCCAGATTAGTTTGTGACTTGCTTCATCAGAGTCCATGCAAAGGGGGAGCCGCTCATCAGAGGCCGGGCTACGGATAAATATCTGGGGAATTTGGGGGAGGCGGGGGGTGGATCAGACACACAAAAAATAAGCTCTGGAGGGAGAGAAAGGAAAGCCGAGTGACAAACAACAACAAAGGCCACCCAATGGCCTCGCAGATGTCCCGATAAATACGGACCCATTGTGTTAGGGGCTGAGCAGTGACTCTTGCCCTGAGCCTAGGCTTTGCGGGGCCAGCGAGAGGTTCCTGGAACCTCAGCACAGCAAGAGGCAGAAGAATAAACCTGCTAATAATAATAAGGGGGAAGAGAGAAACGCAGCAACAATAGCAGAACAGGCTCTAGCTGGTGACGTAATGGTTGGCAGCCGTCCAGTCCCTGCTATCACCACTTTATCTCGTCCCCCTTAACACACACACAACAACACAGCCCAGTTTAGCCACACGGAGGTTATTTGTCTTCCCAAGTGACACTAGGGTGTGTGTGTGTGTAAGTCAAGCAAATCCAGGCAAATCCCCGCAGCCTTTCCCCTCCCCAGCCCCAAGTTTGCAGAAATTGGTAAACACACACACAGTCCCCACACACAGGGGGCGCACACACACACACACA